ACTCAACGCCTTTTGGAGTTAGTGTCAGTTCCCCTCCTCATTTCCCATAATGGCCAGTGTTCCAAGGGGGCAAATTGCACAGAACACTACATCCTCCATTATGGGGCACCAGAGGGTAAACCATGCACATGTGCCAGTAGGTACATCATGTCCTCCCTGGTCTGAATACAGGAACTACCATGTGCTACACTGTTTCCAGGGATTCAAAGAGTCAGAAAACAGGAGTAAGGGAGAGAAGAGAAGAACAGATGAAAAAGACAGTGCACTTTAGATTTGCAATGTGTCTCCCAAAGGCCTGTGGGATGAAGGCTGGTCAGCCCATGGTGCTCCTGGGCATAGCAGAACCTTTAAAAGGCAGGGTTTAGCAGAGGGTTTTGTGTGTTTGGGGTGTCCTTAGACACGATGATGGGGGATTTCTTCCTCTCTTTCTTTCAGTTCTCAGCCATGAGGTGGGCAGTTTGCTCAATCATACAATCTCTACCATTGCTGTCTGGTCTATTGGGTCTGCCAGACCATGAACTCAAACATCTGAGCTGTGAGTCTAAGTGACCCTTTTCACTTTGTAATTTTATTATATCTGGCTTTGTTTCAATAATGGAAAGCTAAAGTGATGCACACTGACCCATCCACACAAAGATCAACTCTTCTAAAAAATATATTTTGCTCCCAGAAGTTGGTAAAACAGTTTTCACGGTTGCTTGGTCTGAACACATCTACTTCCAGGCTAGATTGCAGGTGTGCAGGCTGTAATTTAAGTTGAGTGGTAATTATTGGTGGAGCAGCCTTGGACCCCCTTCTGAAAAGGCCTTGTCATCTTTGGCATCACTGATTCCTGAGGGACTGAGATTGTGAAGTCTTCCAAATCTCCAGGCAGAAGGCTGTTTCTCAGGAATATGGCTGAATTCCAGCTGTGATACTGGCTGCAGGAGGGGCCTGGAGAAGGGCGCAAGACTGGAGCTCAAAGTTCAGAAGTCTGTTTACAGGGGAAATCTTGGTTTGCTTCATCTGCATAGCAAAGACACCTTTCCTTACCCTGTGTGTCTGCAGAGTTCTAACCACTATTACTGTGCCTTTTGGTAGGACACGAAGACAGCCTTTCGTGTGTGGGTTCTGAGTTCTGGAATAACTCCAAGGGTTCCTTCTTAGTATTTACCTCTCACAGTGATACTATGGGATTAGGACTGTTGGCACCACTGTCTTCCAGGGAAGAACCTGAGACAATTTAACACCCTTAATCTTCAGCATTAAATAACTCTAATGGATACGCCCATAATTTAATTTCCAAAACCTACAAATGAGACTTTTTGGGAAAGAAGTCCTGTTTTTACTGTGTATAAAAAAGATGTGATCCCCTCCTTGCAACTTCTCCACCACTTTCCCTGATTACCTTCTCCATCTCAAATCAGTCTTCCTTTCTATTTCCTACCATCTACCTCTAATGTACTCTTTAACTTATTTATATTTGAGGTTTCTCATATAAGAGAAACCATGCAATATTAAACTTTCTGTAGCTGCCTTATTTTGCTTAGCACTGTGGTCTTTTTTAAAATTTTTATTTAAAGAAAGACAAAACAAAACAGAAAATAGACAGAAATAGTACCTACTTTCAAAGAAAACAAATAAACAGTAATAAATCACTAGTTGATGTATACATATTGTCCCCCCACAAATAATTGTTCAAGATACAAAAGTAGAACATATAAATGGGAATTCAACCAAGGAGACTGCAAACAGTTCTGTTTAACTATCCAACAAAAACTAAATAATATGACTATCAATCCTATATACTTAGACATGTACACATTTATCCATATCTTGATTTATGTTGAGACCAAACGAAACATAGCAGATTAAAATCATTCTGAACAAAGATTAATAGCATTGCTGGATTTCACATCATGACACTCCAGAATCAGCACTGAGTACTGCAGTGCCCCTTTTTTTCCTTCAAAGTATTTGTTCATTTCATCACGTGTTATAAGATGAGTTCTCATAAATTGTTTATAGGTTTTATGCAAGCATGAGTCTTAACATGTATTTCTATCCTTTCTATTATTAGAGGGAGAAACAGAACAAAGCAGGACAGAACAAATCATATTTCTATAAACACATAAAACTAAAATGACATATAAAACTGCTGTATAAGGAGTTCTACCATGATCACTGTGCTGTCTATTGTTATCAACAGAAATGGCTATATCATCACAAAAAGTATAATTGAATATATCAGTATATAACAGAATTAATAGAAATACAACTCTGTAGATGGTATAGAGCTACAAAAACAGATAGTAATCAAATCAGAATGGGTATCCTGGTGAATCATTGTCATTTTCAGTACAGTTGTCTATACTCTCCAACTTGATATTATCAACCTAACAGTTTTGAATAAAATCTGTCAATAATAAATAGCAATCAAACAAATCAGATTTAGCTAAGATCAGTCATGATACAACAGTATAAGTCATACAGGGATCTGGATTAAGTTAATAAGAAATTAAAGATGACCACTGTGCTATATCCTGATGTCTTCAGAACAGCTGGCTGTACCCTCAGATCCAGTGCTTGTTTACAAACTGGGACAGAACAAGTTCCATCCAAGCAGAGTGGTGTGAGTAATAAGGGTTTTCATTCCTGATACACTATTAGCAATATCTTTTGCTGTCTTTTTTAAGACTATTCCTCCCCTTTCACTCCCCCAGGATGTACTATGTATTTTTGGGTCTCTCCAATACCCTCGGTTTTATATTGTGGGGGCAACCTGTTATTTACCTACGTGTTTCTGACTTTCTCACTCATGGACTTGATCTCTAATTGTATTTCTTCACTTATTAAAGCCTGTCTTTTCAACCTATTCATGAATACTGGTCCAGTTACCCCTATTACTCTCTGGTCCTCTATCACATAGAGTCCTGCTTTCTCATATTTGATTTTGGCCCATATCCCCTTCTCCAGGTTAATTATATTTCCTATAAAAAACATCTTGGTGGACCCTACCTCTTGATCTACTCTGCCTGTGATTCTCTCTTTTCTTCCTTAATTTAGTGTATCTAGGCCATCTATATGAGAAATTATACCCAACCTTCTCTACCTCATTTCTGTTGTGATCTTTTTCTGTTATTAGTTGTTTGTTTGTCTTCTTCATTTTACTTTTTGCTCCATTCATTGGGGCCTCTCTGTCACTGTTCTTGAAATCCTGGTGCTTTTCGCTCTCTTTAGAATGTCCTGTAGTATTCGCTGTAGAATTGGATTGGTGGTTGTGAATTCCCCCAGTTCCTCTTTATCTTGGAAGCATCTTGTGTCTCCATTAATTTCTAGGGACAATTTTTCAGGGTACATCAATCTGGGCTGGAGGTTATTTTCTTTCAAAGCTTGAATTATTTCACCCCACACTCTTCTCAATTTGATGGTTTGTGCTGAGAAGTCTGCTGTAATTCTGATGGGTTTTCCCTTGTAAGTGATCTGTTTCTTGTCTCTGACAACTTTTAATATTCTGTTCTTATATTGGATTTCTGGTATCTTGATTATTATTATATGCCTGGGTGTAGTTCTGTTTTGGTTGTAGGTGGCTGGACTTCTGTATGCCTCATACATCTGAGTATCTTTTCCTTTTTGTATGTTTGGGAAGTTTTCCTTAATTATTTCTGTGAATAGCCTTTATAGTTCCTTTGTTTGTACCTGTGCTTCTTCACTCACATTCTTTTATAGATCCTCTTGTTGTCTTCCAGCCTTTGTATTGTTACTGCTTGTGTCCTTGTTATTTTTAAGAAATTTTTCCTTTCATGTTCCCACATTGCAAACCTGTCCTCCAGTTTGGATAATCTATCCTTAGTTTCTGTCAAGCAGTTTTGCCAGCTTTCAATGGAGTTTTTAATTTCCTGGTAATCTCTTTGAAACTGCTTCATGTATTCTGTTTTCTATATTTTCTCCATCAAACAACTCCCCCCCCCTTTTTTTTTTGTTCCATTCTTCCATTTGTTTTTTTCTTGGGAGATGCTTAGCATTTCTTTAATTATTCTATTTGTATCTTGCTTTACTTAGTTAAATACTTCACTTTTGAACTCGTCTATGAGATCTAGAAGATATTGCTTTATGTCCATTGGTGCCGTGTCTGATATTGCACGTTTGCTGTCCTCATTCTCCTTTGCATTTACCTTTCCTGAATCAATGTTCTCAGGATTGGAGACTGAGGACCCTTTCTTGTTGCCTCCTCTTCTCATATTTTTTGTTTTTTCCATACAGGCGTATATAGGAAACCCACTTTCTTTCTTTGTTCGTTTGTTTGTCTGAAGTGCTTAGCACTATGGCATTAAGTTCCACTGATTTCTCGAAAATCATGTCATTTATAAACCTTGAGATGAGATTTCTTAGATTATTCTAGTGGCCCCAAATCAAATATCTGGTCTTCCTGGCAGGGGTTCACAGAGGGGAAGTATAAAGGTGGAGCAGAGAAAAAAGTAGCCATAGCAAGGAGTGCCAGCAGCCTCTATAGATAGGAACAGGTAAAGAACAAATTGTTCCCTAGCTCTCCAGCCCTGGTCACATCTTGATCTCAGACCAGACCAGAGAAAGGAGAGAGAAATAAATTATGTTGTTTTAAGAAATCAAGCATAAGCAGTTTATTATATCAGGTTCCGAAAACAAAGACAGTAGCAAGATCAGGATTCAATCCTGTCTACTGTGTTGTGTGACTTGGGACATTTTATTTGTACACCAGGAGTTTCAATTCCTAAACTGTAAAGGGGAAGTCACAGAAAGGACTAAAGGAGGTAATGTGCTCATGCCAAGTACTTCACACACTTCCCAGGAGAGGACCCTGGGCATAACAAGAAAGTTTACAGAGCAAGGAGAGATGGAAAGAAATGAGTTCAGAGTTCTGCCATTTTCTAGCTATGTGACGTTTCCACCTCTCTGAGACTGATTTTCTTCATTAGTAACTTGGTCATCATACTTACTGCTGAAAACTTACACAGATATAAAAAAGATAAGATCAGTCAACGTGTAGTAAAACAAAGACCATCATGGCTGCTTTTTTATTATTCTTTCTCTGTTGTTCAGAAATAGTAACACAAGCCCAGTTCCTCTGTATGGATAAAGGAAAGTCCAATCCTTCAGACTTCAGCTGACATCCACAATGAGTCTACACAGGGCAAATCACTGGGGAGGCAGTGCTGAATACCGATAAGTAGAACCTATTTTAATAACTTGAAATTCTCTCAGAATTCACGATTTGAGGACTCTGAACTGAACTTGAACCCTCTGGCATTCAAACTGGCTTATACAGTTTTGATCGCAAGCAAAGAGAATTTTAAAAAGTCATTAAACAAGGTGAAAAGCCCTATTGGACATGAATTGGCTCTTAAAGAATATTACAGTGATATAAAGCTCAAATGGGTCAAAAATTTATGGAAGTCATTTACCTTAAATAAAACATGATTTTAAATATTCAAGGGAGAATGCTTTGCCAAATGTACTTGGTGTCTTAAAGCACTTGAATAACTGGAAGAGGTTTTACTTATTGCAAAGACATTGTGCTGGGTGACAGGACAACTGTATCAGGACTTGGGCCTTAGGCCATGTGGCACGAGCCACCTGAATGACCCTTCTGGCTGATGACAGAGCCACACTAATCAGCTCTTGTCTTTCCAACCATGAAGGCCACCTAAGACCTGAGTATTGGATATATACTCTATGAGCCCCAGTGAACATCAGGTTGAATGCAATGGGCTTGCCTGCTCTTTTAATGGAATGTGATCTTTGTAAAGCCAAATAGTAGACCTTTTCACTGTTACCTTACCTAACACCTAGCACTGGGAGGCAGATAATGTGTCAGGGTAAGTAACCAAGCAGATAAGTATTTAAAAAAAAGAAAAAGGAAGGAAGGAAAAGGAGGGAATGAGGAAAAATGGAAGGGAAGGAGGTGAATAGAGTATATATGGGTAGAAAATAGGTAGATGAACATGTATATAGATGGATATGCTGGTATATAATGTACAGATGGGTAAATGGGTAAAATAGATAAGTAGATTGATAGATAGGTCAATGAATCCTAGATAGATGCTAGATTGATGTATGAAAAAAGGTATATATAAAAGGATGTAGAATAGGTAATAATGAATACAAGTAAGGAAAGGGTAGGCAAGAGATGGATGGGTGCACAAAAGGATGGTTGATGAATGGTTGAATAGATGGATGGACAAATGGAGCTAGGACCTGTCTGAAGGAACAGGTCCTATTTGAAGGAACTGTCTAGTAACTCCACATTTGATTCTAGTCTCAGATTTCTATTTCCTTTCTAAAACATCACATTTAGCCTTTAACACAGGAATCCTCTCATGCCTTCGTTCCAGAATGATACACTATAGTATGATGATTCTTTATGTTCAGTAAAGAAGTAAAACATGGCAAAGAATAAAGCACCTGGGGCCAGAGAATCTGGGCTGCATTCCACAGCCAGACACACCTCCGGTTCATGTGACCCTGGCTAAGTCACTTTAACAGAGTCCTGCGTCATTATTTCTAAAATAAGGATGTATCCATTGTTGTTTGCTGCCTATTAAGCAAGCATTTCCCCTTTTCCTTACTAATAGTATTTTAATTCGGTTTCAGAAGCAATTTGTCCAATCATAAGAGTACCAGTCATGACTGGTCTATGTTACAGAATTTCATCCAATTTACCAGTGACACAGTTCTGGCCAATTAGAAGCAAGGAGGAGTTCAGGGTTTCTGGGGATAAAGAGAAACATCTGACTGAGGGAAAGCTCTTGGGCTGCACTCATGTTCCTCTGTTCCAGGTTCTGTTGTGTGAAGCCTTCTGGTTGGAGCTGTGGCACCAGCTGTTGTTTAATCAGAAAGACAGATCCCTGAGATTTCACACAGCCAACCTACTCTCTTGACATCATTGAGAATGATAAACTCAGAAATCATGATCTTTATCTTCTTGCTATATGAGACCCATACAAATTGGTATTACCTACAGTAAATCCCATAGGCCAAGCTCTACTCTGCATAAATTTACCCAGGTAAGTTTCACTATTGCCAGTATTATTATAAACACTTCGTGGTTAGACAAAAAGATCCAGAGGTGCTAAGAAATTTCTCTAAGGTAGCAGCCAGGGATAGAGGTAGAATTTCAAATAATGTATTGGTGTCAGGCTGGGGATTTAGCTCAGCAGCATAATCACCTGCCTGGCAAGCACAAAGTCGTGAGTTCGATCCCTGGTACAAAAAAAAAAAAAAAGAAAAAGGAGTGTAAATGATCTGGGAACCTAGTGTCACAAGCACTAACATTTTAGGGCCAGGGATCCTCAGCAGCACAATACCTGCCTGGCAAGCACAAGACCTTGAGTTCAGTTCCCAGTACCAAAAAAGAAAAAAAGAAAAAAAAAAAAAAAAGGTTAACAATGTCTACCCATCACATCACAGCTCTTTCTCTTGTTTGCTCAGTGTTTGGGGGGTACACTCTACATTCTATTAACGTATGCAGAACCTCTGCCTCTGTCTTGCATGATAAAGGTGAACACATGTTGAAACTGACATACATAATATAACCTTATAAGCAATCCTAAGAAATATCTACTCTATTCTCCAATATGTATGTCAGGAGAAAGGGGATTGCAAGAGAAAGAGGACTGAGTCACCTGCCAGAGCCCACTCAGCAGGTAAGTGGCAGCACAGAACCTGGAAGGAACTCTGGTCCCAGACTCTGAAGCTCATCCCTCTCCTCTCACAGTGCCCGCTTCCTATGAAATGCTCATTTCTGCGTGTGATCACAGGGAGACCCAAAGGAATCCTCAGTGATGCTAATAGAAACTGACTCCAAAGCTGAAAACAGTGCGGTGTGACACAGCAGAGATCTGGGAGCACACAGGGAGTCCAACACCCCCAAGGTCCCCTAAGGGCTATTCTGTTCTGCTGGACCCCTGAAAGGCCACCTCTTTCCCCAGCGTGGTGATGGGAAAGACACATTCTTCCTTGGGGCTTTAGCACTTTCAGTCTCAGAATCCCTCCTCTTTCCCTCTTTCCTTCTTTCCCTCTCACCATGCATCTTTCTGGTCGTGCTGCTGGGAAATCACTGACAGTGCCTGGGAGAGAGGTCCTCACAGTGTCCTGAGCTCACCCTGCGCATAAAGAAGGGGCTGGAGATGCAGTCAGAGGCAGAAGATGACAACGGAGAGCCAAGCAGTGGAGAACAGCCAAGAGTCAGGCCTGTGGCCTGGAAAGCACCAGAGAGCAGCTGATCCCACACCTTGAATTTAGGCAGCAGCAGTGAGACTCGGAGACTTCATTAATCACTGCTGCTATCATCCCTGCAGCAGGCATTCAGACGCTGGACTCCTTTGGCCTTATAGAAACCCAAGCAACCATTGCTTTCCCAAAGAGAAACCCACAGTTTAGAAAGAGTAGGTGACTTATCCAAGGTTGCAGAGCAAGTAAGCTATGTGGGCAGGACTGCTGGCCCCCTGACCGCTGCTCTTCCCACAGTTACCTGCTTCCTGAAGCCTTGAGGACTGACGAGCATGCAAAACAGAAATCAAGGAGTGAGGAGGGGAGATACCAAGAGAATACCCAGAATGGAAGAGGGACCAAGCACAGGTCAAAGACATGTGCATGGCTGGAGAGGGGAGCAAGGGTCCAAAGCTCTGTGGCCTTGCCCTTTGGGAACTCTGTTAAGTGCTGATAAATATCATTGGCTTAATGAGATTAGGTGAGCAGCAAGAGGGAAATCTTCCTAGTCACAGGGTGAAGTAATGATATATGAAGGGACACAAGTGATTGTGTGTGTGTGTGTGTGTGTGTGTGTGTGTGTGTGTGTGTGTGTACATGCGCATGCAACACACAGCCATCAGTCCATGTTTTTTCTAATATCAGTTTTGTTCTTCATAATTCTTAAAAAGTGCTGGGGCACTAAATGAGAAAAAATGAAAAAAAGTAGAAAAGACACTGTAAACAAAAATGTGAGGGTCACAGAGTTCAGGAGGCACCTGAACACAGTGTCATGCATTAGCTGTGAGTAGATTCAGCGACTGCAGACAGCACAGTTTGCCTCTGGTTACGCAATTTGAATGTCTTTTTGGATGCTGGGAAAAACACACACCAAAAAGCTCCCTTCCCTCTGAAGCTCAGAGGTAACCAAACCCTCTCGTGGTTTCTTCCAAACCACACTTGGCGTAAAGGGAGGAGGTCAGCATGATGGTTTCGGAATTAATAAAAGCTTCTAGGTACTGCCTGTCCACTCTATGATGGCAAAGTTAATGAGCCACTTCTCGTTCTGGGTTTGTATTTCCATCTGTAAAATAAGGGTAGTAACCACAATTACTGTTTTTCTTTCCTCTACACATTAGCCATGACAATATCTTCAAGCATCCCCTCCTGTTTGAGCCTCAAGACTTCAGCACACACTGTTCCCTCAGCCGGGGACAGGCTTCCCATCCCCTCCCCAGTCATACCGCTCCCTAGACACATCCTCCTGCCCTCCTGGAGTTGTCAGTGTTGCAGCCTCTGGACTCTGAGACCAAGAAAGGAACACGAAGAGCAGGCTGAGGATCCCACACCGAGGGGCAGGCTGAGTTTGGAACCTCAAAGTAAATCCACTTGGTCCCATATTGAGTTCAGCAGCCCTTCTGGCTGGCCATAAAAGGCATTTTTAAAAATTACTCTGCATAGTTTTTCCTTCAAGCTACTTCCCCATTTCTAACATGAGGTCTTCTAACTTGTTCAGTCAAAATCAATCTCTTTTTTCAAAACCAGTCTCTCTCGACATCCTAGAAAGTGACTCATTTTAGGAAACTTATTGTCATAGCTTGTGTCCAGATGTCCTCCAAAAACCTCAAAGTCATAGGTGGGGCTTTTTGAGAGGTGGCTAGATCTAGAGTGTGAGACGAGACACTGGGAGTGATTCATGGTGCAATGCTAGTGTCAAGGGCACAAGGATTAAGTGTGTGAGCGCTACCCACCCTACATAGCCTGGATAAAATATAAGCAATAGAAAGAGCTGTGGTCAGCCCTTACTGCTTTTGCTGTCTTCTGTGTACAGTGCGCTGTTTCTCCTCTGCGACACCCCCTGCCATGTGCCCCTCTGCCATGGAGTCAGCCAACTATGAACTGAAAAACCTCTAGGAACTGTAAGCCAAATAAACATCTTCTCTTTTAACTTTAGGTGTCAGGTATTTAGCAATGAGAAAAGTAACTAAGATATTTATCCCACCCGATATTAGAGTCATTGGTTCCCAAATTCTTACCTGCAGGACAGTGGGTGTTGAACCCACTGCAGGGCTGTTCTCTCTTTATTCCCAACATGCCTGAAATGGAACTTGATGCGGTGCTACAGCAGAACTCAGTTGGACTAGCATGGAGCAGAGGAGAGGCTCTCGGTGTGTCCTGTGCAGTGAAAAACAGTAAATGCTTAGGAAGACTGGTATAAAGTCTTGGATCTGCTACCCTCAATCTCCTAAACTTTGTCTGTTCCATTGATATCCCTGTGCTTCCTTTTTCAATCCTCAAATGAATCAATAGTGCTTAATTTGTAGGAATGAGGTAGGAAGTAAATGTTGGAAAAATAACCACTTAGTCAAGCCCTCACCAATAGAAACTAGGTTCTAGCTTCTTTTGTTATGTGAAAGCAAGGAAGGGTAAATAAATGCACCCATGTGGAAAATTTTACTAAAATTTACTAAGTGAAGTTCACAACTGAACCACACAATCATCTGGTTTCCCCATTCGCAAGCCCAGTATGAGTTTAACTGGGGTAACTGGGCCTGGAGAGACACAGGAAGAAACAATGGTCTCCCCTGCATGCACAAAACAATCCTCCCCAGAAGTAAAGCCACAATTCCTTTGAGCCTGCTGATTTGAAGCAAATCTTCTAAAATCCTGTCCAAACAAACTTGACAGATCAAGATTTTTCTGATTCTTAGGGAAGACAAAATATGGAACTATGACATCCTGTTCCAAATTCCAATTCTGTTTCCTACTTGAAGGAGGAGCCAGAGCAAGGAATGTGAACAAGAAAGTATTGCCTCAGTGCAGCAGCAGCAGATAAATAAAATCCCATCAGCACTGCCAGGGGCGAGGTCATGTGCTCCGGTGAACACACTCTGTATTTGTTCTGTGCTATCTGGCTTTCTGCTCCCTTGTCCCATTGGTCTCTATCTTTTGCCTTCAGTGGCCTTCAGCAAATCTGGGAGAATTAATGACCATATAAAAGAGAGACGTAAATCAATTGAAAGCCAATTGAATGACCCTTCTCTTGTGCAGTTCTGCTTTGCAGAAATTCAAGAGGAGGCATGAGCTGTTACTGCTTTGCATTAAGTGAGAATTTCCCAGTCTATTGTCTGTTAAGTGGATAAACTTGACTGTGTGGTTTCAGAACTCTCCTTGGTGTGGAATGTGTGACATGTCACCATGCTTGTTCTGTACTCACCACCCAATTCCAGCTTTATCTTTCCTGAAAATCTTTCTCTAGAAGTGCTGTTAACCTTCTAGAGCTTCAGCAGCAAGAGCCATTGTGAGCCTGTGAGGTGCCTGATGATCCAGGCTCTGGGTTTTCAGAGGCCTCTCACAAATGTAATTGAACCAAAGGTATCTATTTCCCATGTATCTATAGCCCTTCTTAACAAGAATGGTATCATTGACTAGAATGTGAAAGATCATAAACATAATTCTGAATTGTTTTAGTATAAATTACTGATTTCTTGTACTTAAGCTTCATTTCATGTATATAATGTATAATGTAAATGTGAGAATATATATATAAACACACGTTAGGTATACATACATATTTTATGTGTGTCTATGAGTTGCAGCAGACTCTCTGATATATGTTTAACTTTATAAATTCACTGCTATATTCTTTTATTGCTTGTTTGTCTGTTTGAGTTTGAGATTGAACCTTGGACCTTCTCCCTAAAGTAGATCCTGAGTCCTTTTTATGTGTTTAATATCAGACAAGATCTCACTAAATCACTAATTCATCCACGCTGGACTTGAACTTGAGACCATTTTGCCTCAACCCTTTTTCTCTTAGAAGCTGCTATATTTCCAATACTAGACATTCGTATTTAAAACCACAAAAGTCCGTAAACCAGAGGTCCTTAGTTTGAGATATCTAGTGGCTAGAGGTGTAGGTCTCTGCCCTTGGACTTGACTGGAAGTGTCCCCAGTAGACCGTGACTCTCAAGATGGGCTCCTTGCTATTGGTACAACACGTCCTCATCAAAGCCCCTCTTCATACAGCATCGAGGGATACAGGACAATTTGCATTCCTGTTATATTCTCTGTCACAAATCCTTTGTAGCTTTCCCTCGGCGGAAAATTACTCATACAAAGAAATACAAATCTTGCTGTGCCTGCCTTCATTTTTCCTTCAACAAAGACTTCATCAACCCAAATCCCACTTTATGGTAGACTTCAGACTCTCCTTTAAATAGGGCTGAAAGCTGAAGTCTGGTGCAGAGCTTCAAACTTTAGAGTGTTATTTTCTGGGGCTCTCAGCCATGAAATTTTGCTCTGGGCAGATTTTAGCATGCTAAGTCTGAGCAGGAAGATGAATGTTTCATGCATTTACTTTACCTTAAAACTAGAAACTTTAAAAAAAATATATATATATATATATATATTATTGTTTCACACATGGAAACTGAGAAAACATAATTCTCTCACAAGATTCTTTTTTCAAAATTGGGTCCAATAGAAGCCTAGAGTAGCGATGACAAACTTCTTAGAGCTTTTGGGGATAACAGATTGTGGCACACAGGGGTCAGTTTGCCACCATGTCTGCAATATTTCACTTCACCCTCCTTTTCATGAGACATCTTCTCATATAAACCTCCTGAACCCCACCTCCTCGTCTGTAACGTGGGCAACATGGGATTTACCTTTCTCGTGATTGGCACAATATTAAAAAGGATGCCACCAGGCTGGACAGGGTGGAAGGTATCTGGAGGAACACTCAGCACCATGCTCAGTACTTACCAGATTTTCACAGCATGATACTTCGACATCTCTACAACAGTCTCTATCTGAGATGATCTCTGCTTTTCTCTCAGGGTAGAAGCTACTAAAGCAAAGCAGAGTCAAATATTAGAATTAATGGGAGCCAAATTTTGAATTTATTTTCTGTCTCTCTATAATTACACAAAATTATCTCAAGAGTTAATCCAGAAAAGCAAGAACTTAAAAGAAAAAGGAAATATGCTCTGGGTATTGTAGTTGCTGGTTCTACCACACCTGGGAGAATTTTCTCTTCTAGAAAATTAGACTGAAACATGCATGGGAGAAATGAGTTGGAAGCCCAGCTCTGGCAGCTCCATGGTTCCCACCCACTTTTCAGAGGTTCATCCTGTCAATCCCCATTGCAGATCAGCCCCTGAACTCCCCCACCCTTTCTGTGTCTACCTTTCCATCATGTGCTCACTCTTACAGCAGCCCTGCAGGCATCCTCCCTGATGGAGGACTTTCTCCTTCCCTTTCCTCACATCTGTCTCATAACGATGTTTGTTTCTTTGCTGCAAACAACCCACTGAGGTCCTCTATCCCATGGCCATCTGCTATGCTACAGGATCCCTCCCTCTCCAGTGATCATGTCCTTATTTATGCCTGGTCCCGCTGAAGGCAAAGCCTACAGCTGTCTGTCGTCTCAGACAAGTTTTCAGCTGCAGCAATGCCCTAGTACCTCCCAAGGCCCACAAGGCCTGTCTTCCAACATTGACTAAATCGAGATAATAAAAAAAAAACCTAACCACTTTGTCTTAAGTCAGGGCAATTCTGAAGGTTCATTCTAGCTCCAGAGCTCCCCTATGGGGTTGGATAAGTCTGTCAGGTCTGTATCACAACTCAACTTCTCCCCTCATCCAGTCCCATTCCTTTGTGTCTCTTCCATCATTATTTACCCCAAGGAAACGTTTATAGATGCTGTCTGTTAAATTGTGTCATGGTTTATGTCAGTGGCCCCCAAGCCTCATGCAATTATGGGCTCAACCAAATCTAGCATTTGTGATTGGTTCATAGCCTAGCACTCAGATTGGTGGTGTGAGTGCTACACTGCCTAACTGTAGAGCCAGCATACAGTGTACCAGTGGGGAGAAGGTGTATCTCTCTTGTCTGTTCCTGCTTTTGCTGTTTGCAGCTGCCCCATCATGCCACCCTGCCTTGGAGCCAGCTAAGTATGGACTGAAACCTCCAAGAACTACAAGAAATAAGCCTTCATTCCCTAACTTTGGGCATCAGGTATTTTGTCTCAGCAACAAGTAAAAGGTAAATAAGACAAATTGGTTTTCAAAGTTGGTCTCTCAGGCATACAAATGGTAACACCTCACCAGAGGGAAGAAACGGAAGGAGAGAGGAAGGGAGAGAGGGAGAGAATGCGAAAAAGAAAGGGGAGAAGGCAAGAAAGGAGAGAATTAAGCAGAATTATTCATCCCAGTGAATGTACTGGTCTCATTTTCTAGGGCTACTAAAAGCCCCCTGATGATACTTTTCCAGTGAAAATTAGACATTTGGCCAAGAAAATCTTCTGTAGTGAGAATCTTAACTTATTGCTTACAAATGGGGATTTTTTTTTCCTAAAGGAAGACACTGCGGAAAGGTCTCCATAGAGATGATCAGCTTATCTGGATTTGCCCACATTGTTCACCTAACAGACAGCCCAGGTTTCCATAGCAATCACCTGAATCTGCACTGTGGGTAGTGCATATATAAATTATTCCAGTATAAGTGACGAGCAATATTGTTCACTCCTGAGGTACCAAATGTCTTCAGTGTGGCTGAGAAGAGTGTCTGCTCTGGTCCAGAGAGCACTGTGTTGCTACTTTGAATGGACCAATCTCTGCTGGTCCCTCTCTGGGTCCTTGCAGCCTGCTCCAGTGTGCTCTGTTGTGTCCTTCATTTGTCTCAAGGCCCACTCACCTGATGTTTGCTGTGTTTCATTTGCAAATCATCTTAAACAAGTGGATTCAATAACTTTGTGCATGTACTTCTGGGCAAACATCACCCATAGTTGTTCTTTCACCTATAAATGATTGCCCAGTTTGCCTGGCCTGTGGACCCAGATATCTCTCTGTTTGCATCCTAAGGGCTACTCCCATGGTGCTTTGTGTCACAATTCTGAGTTTGGCACACATTTCACTTGTGTTGCTGTGACTCCCTGCAGGGCTTCTGAACTACTACTAGGCATTTATACATAGAAACAGCTGTCCTTCCACTTCCTGAGATTCAGTACCTGCATCCCTGGCTGCAAGGGTCTAGGGACTTGGTGTTTAGGAACGTCATGCAGATGGTCAGGTAGACAACACTGGCACAGTGGTTCCCTCAACCACCTCAAAAGATGTTTTCTGTTTTGGTTCTTTCTGCTTCTTAGAATGTGACTTGGGGCACTAATACCCCCGCTATTTATTATCGCTTGTGTTTCTACAAAATTTAAATGTGACCCTGTTGAACCATTCAAAAGGACACACCCATTAAACAGTCACCCTGACTGAGTTCTAAAGCAGGAAGGAAAAGAAAATGAAAGGGGCAGGCAGATTGTACCAAAATGTGACCACTCAAGGGTTGATGGGAGCCAACTTGGCTCATACCCACAGAGTTTGCTCCTCCTCATACTGAATCCCAAACTGGTCAGATTTATCCACCAGCCATGTCATCTCTGAGTCAGTCCAAACCTAAGTCTGCAGGAGCTAATTGGAACAAAAGAATCCCCCACATAATCCTAACGAAGAAAAGAAGCATCTGAGGCTGTCTTTCTTTCTAAACTCTCTAATGAGTTTGGTTAGTCCACTGCTCCAGAGAGGAAGACTGGGGTCCCACAGTGATGAATGCATCTCTATACGAACTAAAATATCAAGAGCTACTAACACTGGATCAAGTAGCTTTTCTTGGTGCATCCCACGTGAGAGGTGTTTCTCTAAGCTCACTACATGCTGTAACCCATCCAATCCCCAGCCAATCCTCATATCTCTAGCTTCTATTCGAACAGATGCAACCTAAGCACAGGGAAATTCCAAAATTTGCTGCTATCACTGCCAATAGGACTTGAACTCATGAAGCCAGATTCCAGAGCCAAGGCTCTCAGACAAAATGGGAATCACAATTTATACTGATGCCACACTGCATGCCCTCGTGCTTCAATCTCTACAGCCTCTCTCCCATAGAGAGGGCCGGAAACAGCTCAAGTCCTCCCAAAATATTCCCCAAAAAGGTCTCCTTGGGGTTTTCCTGCCTACAAGACCTGTAGGGATTTGTCTTTTCATGCAAAGACTTTACTTTTACTCCTCCATAATCTGAACACTGTAACCTTTATTCCAGTGTGGACAGAAACCAAGTGATGTGAGGGTTAAGCTACTCAGAGATAAGGTTTGATTGGCTCTGATATGTTATTAGATAACATGAAGTGAATGAAATGATTTAGAGAAGCATGGCTGATCTGTATCTGAGACCATAATTATCTTCCACCAAGCAGTGTGATTATGAGCACCTGCTTTGTGCTCAACACTGTTCTCAGCTGCAGAACAGAGTGGAGCTAAAGATGAAACAAGCAAGAAAGCCAACAAAACCTCCCTGCTCTCGGGACATTCGTGCCAAGTCAGGAAGCCCAGCCTTAAGTCTACAACACAAGCCTGCACAGCACTTTGCAGTTAAGGATTTCAAAGTAAACAGAAGGTGCTGTGGGAATAAAGGACAGAGGAAGCCATCTTGTCAGGGACAAGAGAACTTTCCACTGAGCTCTGAGCTCTCCATGGAAAGTACTTGGGTTGAAGGTGTTAGCAACTCACTGGTGAATGGCAATCAGAGCATATCCCAAGGTGGAGAGAAGGGAATGCAGAAAGTCTGTGACAGGAGCCAGCAAGGAATGAACTGGTACTTCCTGTGGCTACTGCCAAGCAGAATTGGAAATGAATAAAAGTGGAGAAGTTACGAGCCATATGAAGGATGTGGGATTTATCCCAAGACCAGGGACAACCTTTGCTTCATGTGCCATGGATTCAACAGATGCTTCAGCAAACCTACAAGGTCCCAAGATCTGGCCTGAGGTGCATGGATATGTCAAAGATGGCTGAGTTGGATTTCTGTTATTGTAACAAATATTTGCTTTATTTTGGCTCATGGTTTCAGAGTTTCTAGTCCAGGATTGATTGACTCAGTTGGTTTGGCACTACAGCCAAGCAAAATTAGTCACCTTGTGACCCAGGAGCAAAAGAAGTGTGGAAAGGGCTGGGTCCAGTGTCTTCTTCAAGAACAAGCAAAGGGAAAGATATGGGCTGCATGACACATGTAGGTCAGGCACCTTGTGATGACTGCAAAGCACGAGGACATGGAGAAGTTATCAGGTAGATAGGATAAGAAACAATAAGAAGAGCTGTCCATGCTAGGACTGTATCTCATTGCTTTAGTCTGCTCGGGCTGCTATAGCAAAATTTTGCTGACTGGTAGTTTAAAATATAAAACATTAATTTTCTGCCAGTGCTGGAGGATAGAAGTCCCTGATCGTGGTTGGGCAGGGCCAGTTCAGAGAGGGGCTCAGTTCTTGGCTTGAAGATAGACGCATTCTCAGTGTCCTCTCGCAGCAGAAAGAATGAGCATCTGGAAACTCTTAGAAGGACACCAGTCCTAACTGATCAGGACTCCAGCAGTGTGACCTCATTTAACCTAACCTTGCTCCCGAAGGCCCTGTCTCAAGGCAGAGTCACATGGGAGGCTAAAGCTTCAACCTATGGATTTTAAAGAAGTACAGTGCAGTCTGCCTCACTCATGGTCAGCAAAGAGCTTTCAAAAGAGTTTAAGCAGAACATTGATCTGATCAAACTATTAATTTTGAAAAGTGGTGGTGTAGTAAGTGCAAAACTAGATTAGTGCATAGATGAGGATAAAACTTGAGGCAGAGAAAAAATTATAGAACCATTTCTTTTTCTAATTAAAAAAATGGTGGAGAGTTGAATACTAAGTGGAGAGACCAGGTGGAAAAACACGAAGGAGTGGCCTCCATGGGAACCTGTCACTCCAGTTACTCCAGTGACTGGACAAACAAATCACCATAATGAGCAGCCCAGGAAGAGCAGGGTCATGGG